CTACAGTAGCCAGCAAGAGGTGGTACCAGACATTCACAGCCAGCAGGTGGTGGTAGGAACTGTTGATACCGGCTATCATCCGGTGACGTCGGGACTGCTAGCAGACCTGCACTTTGCCTGTTTTAGCAAAAGATCACAGGCTGATTGAGGAATTCCGCAGTAGGACCAGCTCCCTTCCAGCTCAGCCTCCAGTTGTCAGGGGTGGGTCACGGTCTGGCCTGGTCTCTTTCCCAGTCATGACGATGATGTGCTTCGGATGCCCCCCTCTGCACACCGAGATCTGTCCTGAGACACTGTGCCCCTGGGGTGCAAAGCCCTCACTAGGCCTCAGCCTCTTCTTGAATTCTCAGTTAGAGCTCATTAGCACAATAGATTTAATATTATATACATCTACACATATGTAGCTGTATATTTTGATATGGGAATTAAAAGGTGGGCTTACAGTCGTTGTCTGCAGAGGCAGGTGTGGAAGACTGCATAAGGAATGTCTGCGTGCTAGATAGCTGGATGATCCAGTCAAAGGTGGAAGACCTGGAGCTCACTGCAGATTTGTCAAATTCTCTATCTGAAAGCCAGTGTCTGCTTTGGGAAGCCGAAGCGTCTGCACTGGAAGCCTGGAGATGGACGTTCAAAGTTGAAGATGAAGATGAGCTCCTCCAAATGGCGGAAGTGGGCCTTCCTTCTGCTTTTCCTTTTTATTCCTTCCAGGCTACAAGCCTATTGGTTGGTTTCACCCACACACCCACAGTGAGTCCGTCATCTACACCAAGAGTTATGCTAAGCCAATCAGATGGATGTTGCAACTTGACATCACAGTTGCCTACCACAATCATTACCCCCACAACTAGACCAGGACACAAGGCAGGAAAGTAGTTTAATGTGAGCCAGTGAAGCACCGACAAAGGGATGGCAATAGAGATCTGCAGATGAAGCCCAGGAGTCTGACTGAGACAGACCTGATATTAGTGCAGAAAGCATGGGCCCTACACAGATCTCTGCCTTATACTCACCACCTCTGGCCTCCTCCCCAAGTCAGGAAAGACAGCTGCTCTACTGCTCTGTTGACCACACACAGATGACTCCTAGTACTCGAGGTATCCCTATGCAAGACTGTATCTTACTTTTTTACCCTTCTTTTCTTTTTATTCTCTTTTCATTTTTTCCTTCAGTACTAGGTACAGAATTTGGTCCTCCCCATTGAACTACATCTTCAGCCATTATTGTTTTTGTTTTTATTTTAAGGCACAGTCTTGCTACCTTGTCCAGACTCAACTCCAACTTGCAATTCTCCTGCTTCAGCCTCCCACAGGGCAGATACTAGATGCTTGCTCCACTATCCCAACCTGAAGGTATCTTTCAAGTTCATACAGAGAAATAGAGGTGGAGCTCTTAGGGCTAGGAGAGGAGAGGGAGAGGATACTAAGACTTTGACAGGTTCTGGTGGCCACAGCTTTGCTCAGTTTCCTTTCCTGCATTTTTATCATCCAGCCTGAGTGAATGGGATGCACTGGAGAGTTGTCTTCTTTGTGTAGGTTGAAACTATATCCCGTACACTGGCTCAGGGTGGTCTACTTAGCAGCAGAGTGCAGCCTGACTGGCATCAGGAAGGTGCCCACCCTACATTTCTCCTCTCCTAGGCTTCAAGTTGAACCAGGATTGCAAACTCAGGACTCATCTGTGGCTCTTACACCTGGCTCAGGATTTCTCCCCTCTAGAAAACACTGGGGAACTCTTCACGGGTTTCACAGTAGAAGCCAAGTCCCTGTTGTTTTGTCTGATCCTGAAAAGGGAGCCTGGGCATTGGATTGTAGAAGGATTCGCAGCATCAGTCTCTGTTCCAAGGCCTAGCCTGGGGCTGCTGTGAGGCCCAGGATCTGGGCTGAGCAGATTCAGAGCAGACATATTGCCCTTCCTTTTCCAGAAGCACACAGGACAACAGAAGACCCTCACCTGGGAGCCCACTAGGCAGAGATCCCCTCTGGGTACATGGCCACAGATGTGGCTACTTGACAGAGCCAAGTGCTGAGGCTGCATTCACAGCTCAAGTGGACAGTTGCTTTGGGTCACGGGATGCCTGGGTTTAGACTTGAACTTGGGAGCTCTTAGGGAGTTGTAGTTAGAGTGACTGTCTCTCCAGCCCAACATCTGTGCTCTGAAACCCTGACTCCAGAAGCTCACACTTCACTATAGAGGTTTGACCACGCCTCCTGAAAATGGGGATCTATAGGGACGGCCACCCCACCAAGGCCAAGGCGTTTCAAGTTGACCCCACAAGGATCTATCACAATCCTGACCTACATGGATGCACCAGGTTGGAAGGGAGGAGGCAGCTGAGGCAGAAAGGTAACGAGATGTCACCAGGCGGGAACAAAAGAAACACCAACAAAGGGATGAGGACCCAAAACTACAGAAGAGGCCTGTGGGTCTGAGATAGCCCTGGCATCAGTGCACAAAGAATGAGCCCTCACTGCCTCTGCTCACCTCCCAAAGTGAGGAAGAGAGCTGCTCTACTGCTCTGGGAGCCAGGCAAGGTAGCACCTGGGACTCAAGGTGTCCCTTTACAAGGTTGGGTCTGACTTTCTTTTGTTCTACTCTTCTATTTTTTTCTTCAATACTGGGTACTGAACCTTGGTCCTTCCCATTGAGCTATATTCTTAGCCTTTTTTATTTTTTTTATTTTAAGACTGAAACTTGCTAAGTTGTCTAGGTCAGGCTCCAACTTATAATCCGCCTACCTCAGCCTCCCATAGGACAAGTATTTCAGACTTGCACCGCTGTGCCAGACTATTCACATATAAATCAGTAAATCCCCGGTTCAGGTTCAGGGCATGCATCTAAGACAGTTGCTGTCCTCATGGGTGAGCCATCTCAGAGGACACTGCACAGGGCCTTGGGTACATCCCTGCCTCCCCAGGATGCTGGCCAGGACCTGGCTGAGGAAAGGGCCTCCTTCTGAGACAAGTATGATATTAGCAAGTTCAGGGATAGTTCTGCCATCGCAGATGTGAACTACCGGGCTCCACGGTGGAAGGATGTGAGCAGAGACAGAGGCCTGGTTTAAAGGGTCTCCTAAGGCCAAGGCAAAATTCTGGGGCCCTCATGCCCAAATCAACCGGTGCACACAGCAGCAGAATGCCACTTGTCCTGGCCCAGCAGGTACCTTCCCCATAGAATTCCACTGCTAGAGCAAGGCAGAGATTTTGGGCTGCAGCCTCAGTATTTGGCTGTTATGTGGACATGCTGATTTTCCATGTACCTGGTCCCTCCCTGCTGGGCTTCAGGAAAGGCCAGTGGCCTGTAGGTTCCCCACTAATTATCTGATTCCAGAAATGAAGGGGAAGAACAGGGCACAGGAAGCACGCCAGGCATTGCATGCTGCTTTAGGGTTTGCCTGGGGTTGCAGTGAGGGCCAGGATCTGGGCTTAAGGAGTTCAGAGCAGAAATCATATTTTGGCTTGTCCAGAATGTCCACTGTCACCCCACAATTCCCTGACATTTGGAAGAACCAGAGAGCTGCACAGCACCTGTTCATGTAAAGCATTCCTGCTTTTTTTTCCCCTGCTCTCTTTTCATTATTTTTCTTTTTTTCTTTTGTTTTCTTGTCTTTTCTTTTCAATTGTTCTCTCTCTCTCTCTCTCTCTCTCTCTCTCTCTCTCTCTCTCTCTCTCTTTTGAGACAGGGTGACCTTCAGCTGACTCTGCAGCCAATGCTTACCTCACATTCACAGTGATCCTCTTGTCTCAGACTGTCAAATGCTGGGATTGCAGTTATGGGCCCGGGCCATGGTTTCAGGGCTATTGCTGGGCTGCCGGGTGTTGAAAGGAAAGGAGGGGTGGAAAAGTAGCCCATGCAGGGGAGCTATTTATGGCAATCTGGATACTGCTCCCCTATGAGGGCCGGATCCATGCCTTGCTAAATCCAGGAAGAGTAGACCGCTTGGTCGAAAACCCTTGAGAAATATATGGCAAGATGTTCACACCCTTTTCCCTGCTCAGTATTGTGAATGGTAGAAAGAGAGGAAGGTGGCGGGGGACAAGAGGGATAAAACAAGGGTTCCACACTGTGTCAAGGACAGAGCTTTCTTGTGTGTTTGCTGCGCCTCTTCTCTTTATCCGATTAGCCCTGTCTGTGGGTAAGCTGATTGATTCCAGGCAAGCAGTCATCTGCGGCTCCTCAATCTCAGGTTGGGGTCCTTCTGGGGATGTTAAGTCCCTGTACCCACAAAGAGCGTAGAATAGGCTAGACATGATAGCCTAAGCCAGTAACTCCAGCATTCAATGGGTTAAGGCAGGTTTGCCAACATTTTAGGCTAGGCTACACTGTGAGTGGAAGACCAGCCTAATCTGCAGAAGGAGACGCTGTCTCAAGAACAATACCAAAAAAAAACCCATAATAAAGAAAAGAAAAAAATAAAGAAAGCAAACACTGCTCTGCTCCTAGAGGAACTTTCTGTAATTTCATTCTTGTAGAGGTCAGGGAATGGCTTCAGGGCTGACAGTGGACATTGTTCACAAGAATGGACATCTTGATAAGGAAAGGTATCTGCTCTGAGCTCACTGAGCTCAGGCCCTGGCTTCACCATAGCTCCGGGCCAGGCCCTGACACAGGGTGAGCTGCACTGAGCTCCTCTCTTCCCCCACACCTTACCTGCATTTACAAGAGCAAATGGGACAATGAGGAACCCACAGGCACTTGGCCTACCCCGTGTGCCACACAGACAACTTGAACCAAATACATGGGCCAGTGAAGTGTTTACTTGACGCAGCTGAATACTGTGGCTAGAGTTGTACTCACCACCAAGCCATGGTAGGGCGACCATCTGAGAGAGGCACCTGCCTGGACCGAAGTGGGCTGCACTCTGCTGCTTTGTGCACTTTGGCTCACGGAGTGCCAAGATTTGCTCTTGTCCTTTGGACTTCATTCAAATCAGCACAATCTCTGTGGTCACATTTTGGGGATATGGACACCAGCGACAGAAGTGAGGACTCAGAACTGTCCCTGAGATTGCTGATCTGAGACGTGTCATAGAGAGAGAACTAAGACTTGTCTTAGTTTTCCTTACTGAAAACCAGGCCAGCA